GGGCCGCAGGGCCCGGGGCACCGCGTGCAGGAGGCCCCTTCCTCCTCCGAGACCTCCCTAGGGCTTCATCCTCTGGGTCTGGAGAGCAGGCATCAATAATCCAAGTTAGCAGATGGGGAAACTGAGGCCTGAGGAGAGGCCAAGCTAAGGGTGGCTCAGGGCACTCTACAGAGCAGCCTCCTCCCTGGTTCGAGGAGAGGGGATTGGAGCAGGGCGCAGAGACTGGACCAGGCTCTGGGCTGCAAGGACAGTGGAAGGTGAGGTTTTGGCTGGGACAGATGTCCAGGCTGAGTGGCACTGGGGGAGGGGGTCTGAGGGAAAAGAAGGATAAATGGGTCAATGCTGGCAGTAAAGGAAGGGCTTACGGTGACCTGTTTTCTTCGTCACCTCCAAATTGGAAAATGCCCGTGGTTGGTTAGGAATGAAGGCGAAAGACAAAGCCCCCAGATATCAGAGGGTGAGCCTGGGCCCCCTGGGGAGGGGGTAAGGAAGGAGGGGAGTCCTGGGGGCAGAACTGAGTTTTGGCTGGAAAAGCTGCTTCCACAGCGCCTGCAAGGAGGGAGAGGGTTGAGAAGGGCAATGGGAGGGCTCGAAGGGCCTGTTTGCTGAGGGACATTGATCACTGACACCTACCTAGTTGGGCCAGGGTGGCAGGACCCAGCAGGGCATCAGGGCTGGGACAGCTGTCTTCCCACCCCAGCACTCATGGAGGCCCTTCCATGGCTTCCACCCTGGGCTTTGACCCCACCTCAGGGAGGCTGCTCCTCTCTCTGGACAGCTGTGCAGGGCACTCAGTAGAGGCTGACTGACTGGATGGATTCTGAAGAGCCCTACTCTCAGCTGCCAGGAGCCAGTCCCCTCTGCCTGCCTCTGGTTGACTCAGGAGGCCTGCACTCTAGTCCTGGCTCTGCCACAGACCCTCTGTGCAGTCCTGAGAAGCCTAGTGCCCCGTGAAACCCCCTGCCCTCTGGGGCTTTCCTTCTGGAACTCTCAGAACTTACAGGATCCCAGTTAATCTAACAAGGGTTAGTCCTCCCGAAGGTGTTGACAATGATGATGAACTCAGTAAGTGTTCTTCTGGGTGTTGGGGGCACGATGAAATGAATGGATATGTGCCTTAATGGAAAGGAATGAATGGAGGCATTTGGGGCTGGGCATGGGAGCATTTGGGGACACAAAGTTAAGCGCCTGTCTAGCCCTATCAGATCACGACTGTCTCCCATCCTCTTCACTACCTTGAAAAGGCCTGTGTGCAGTGTGGTGGGAGGTGAGATAGGGTGAGGGTGGGATGAGCCACACAGCGATGTAGCTGGGGAAGGCAGAGAGCCAACCTGTGGCAGCCACAACCCTTCTTAGGGCAACAGTACCTCTTCTGGACCAGGAGGGTGGGGTTGCCATCAGAAAGGTGCCTTTTGAAGGTGTGATTCCAATTGTGGGAGGGGAGGGAAGGGAAGAAGGCAGGACTCTCAAGGCAGGACAATTAAATCCTGGTGGGGAGGTCTGTCTCAGGCTGAAAGCCATTTCACACTTTCCCTGGGTCAACAAAAAAGTTTCATTAGAGAAGTCAGTGTAGTGGGTAGAAACAGGTGACTGAGGCAGATGACAACAGGGTTTACATCCAAGGTTGGGACAAGGTGGAGGCCACTGGCAAAGGGATATGGAGAAAGAGGATGCCAGGTACTGGTGGGTGTTTTGGGCAGGCTGGGGTGAAGGTAGGGGTGCACCAGAATGGAAGTTAGGAGGCAGCGGGGTTCAGAGAAGAGAGCCCTGGACTAAGTTGTAGTTGCTGCCTGCCACTACTTTGTTGTGTGACTACAACAACACAATCATAATTTTCATTGGGTGTAGCAGATGCTATCGGTGCGCCTACTCAAACCCTGATGCCTACCTAGAGGTCACCTGCGGAGTTCCTGAACCCGCTCCCAGTCTCTCTCCTGAGGCATTTCGAAGTAAGCGTGGGGCAGGCTGTAAGTGGAGAATTAATGCCTCTAGGGCAATCCTCAACCAAGGAGGGCCCAAAGTTAGTGGATAAAGCCTCCAACTTTCTGTCCCCCTGAAAGTGGGACAATTCCCAGTCCCTAAGCACAATTCCAGTCTCAGAGGGACTTGAGCAGAGTGAAGCCTAAGTTGTCCGCAGGGAGAACTTACTCATCCCTGTATGCTCTGCTTTCTTTCCGCCCTTCCTTGTCTCTCACTCCCTCACCCTGCTTCTGGAATCACCTCCTAAATAAACTACTTGTATCCAAATCTGTCTCAGGGTTGGCTTTGGGGAACCCAGACTGAGACAATGAATAATAACTGTGTTAAGTGCTTTTTCATTTCACCATTACCTTATTTAATTTCTTAACATCCCCTGAAATAGGTACCATTAGCCCAATTTTACAAATAAGGAATAAAGAGGTTAATGCAGAGGCAGGATTCAAACCCAGGTCTGTCTAGCTCCAAACCCAGTCCTTAAATACTATGCTCTGTGGTTTCCCTAATTCTCTGATCTTCTCTGGGCCTTATTTTTTCATCTGTAAAATAAAGTGAGTTTGAAGGGTAGCAATGTACCCAGTGTCTCCTGCAGCTAAACCTGGTCAATGAGGTGTAAGCAGAAGTTACTGGGAAAGAAAAGTGCTTTAAAGGGACTGACTCAGCTGGGAGGCCCACTCTGTTTTGCCTTCCTTATTCTTTTCCCTTCTCCTAGAATGTATACATGAAGGCTGGAGCTCCAGTTGCTACTTTGAGCCAGGAGGCAACAATGAAGTATTCTAAGACACATTGTTAGGTAGGTACTCAGGAGTAAGCTGAGAGGAATAGGACCTAAAGACCCTTCCTTCAAGGAGCTGATCATTTAGTGAGAATGGCTGGATGTGGACATAAAAAACCTTAACAGGTAAAAAGAGATCAGCACCAGGAGAGAGGTGCAAAGTGGTATGAGAGCTCTGGGAGGGAGAAATTCCACCCGGGGGAGTCAGGTATCACAGAAGTTACTTCTAAATGATGGTGAGGATTTTACATAGTGCTGATAGAGGAGTGAGGGAGTGGGATCCAGTCAAAGGTAAGAGTGTGAAAAAGGTGTGGAGGTGCCATAGATGGGCCTGTATGTGGCTCAGTTCAAGGGGAGTTTGTGAAGGAGGCATGGCAGGTAAGGTGTGTGGGCCTTAAATGCCGAGCTAAGGAGCTTGGTTTATCCTGCAGTAGAGAGGAGGGTGCTCAGAACAGGATTTTAAGATTACTCTGGCTACAGAGTGAAAGGCAGGAGACAGAAGCAGCGAGGAGAGGCAGAGAGATCTCCAAGAAAAGACTCAGAGTGTCCAGATGAATCTGAACTATGCAGGAATAGGAAGAAAGGAAAAGAAAGGGAAGAGATGGATGGAAGAGAGATGGAGAAGAAATGCAGAGACTGACAGAGAGTGAGCGCACAAGCTCACAATTTAATTAGCTTCCTGGTTTGCCGGAGGATTACAGGGGAATTAGCTGAGCTCAGAGTCTAGGGACCTTGCTGGGAGTTGAGGGGAAGTTAATGAGAAAGACAACAACATGCCCCAGGGAGAAATGAAAGAGGAGGAATCATCAGCCAAGCAGAGATGCCGGCAGGAGAAACAGATGTCAGGGTGCTGAGTATCTGCCTTCCTTGGAGAGTTCAGCCCTCCAGGGGAGTAGACGTTTGGAACTTCTCGGTTGGGCTCCTGGCCCCACTGCCCCTGATTCCAATCCCTCTGAGCACTTGGTAAACAACCATAATGGGGGAAGTTGGGCGTGGCTGTGAGGATAAATTCCTGGCTCTCTGTTGGCCCCTTTCCCAGAAGGGAACCCCAGGCCTCTTCTGCAGATGGGGAGGTTGAGGGCAGGGATGCAGATGTGGCCTGCTCCTGACCAGATGTGGCGAATGGCATTTTCCAAAGACAGCTGTGACAGCATCTCTCATCCCACCTGCTCTTCTGACACTGGACCATGTCAGTCCCCTCTAAGAGGAGGACCTAGATTCGGTCATAAAGGATGACACTGCTTCAGCCTGGCCCTCTCTTGAAACAGAAACTTGGAAGCTAGCCATTATGATGTGAGAAAGCCCAGGCCACATGGAAAGACCACGTGCAGATACTGTGGCCAACAGCCCCACTCCAGTAAGATTAGATTAGACCAGTTATCTAATTTGCAAGGTCCAGTGCAAAATAAAAATGCAAGGCCTCTTGTTCAG